GAAAAAAATACCTTCACATATATATATATAATGTAATATACAGGTTTATATACAGTATATCGATTGCGAAAGAGGCATCTCTTAAGTCCACGAGCATACTTTGAAATTGCCCACGAAGGTTCCGCGTCAAGTGTCAAGACCAATGTGAGTTGATCTCCATCTCCAAGCCCATGATCACTCAGGATCCAAACGTCATGGTGGCACATCAATTCCGAAAAGCAGCTGTATCAATGAACAGGGCCATCCAACTGCTCCAAGTGCTTGAAGCTTCGGCTGCATCTCCTTTCCACTCACCGTCTGGATTCAAAGCATCCAGTCGTCGATGCACCAACCAATCAGTGACACCGTTCAAAGCGAAAAGTGAACATACGTGAAAGTGCAGCTTTTTAGCTGTGACCAATCTTGGACCAAGTCCAGCAGCAAGAACTTTGTGTGCGCCGGCGCCGTCTACCGTTTACTACCGTCTACCGATATCATCCAATACCGTCATTCAGATGAGGCAAAGAAATCCCTTCGGTTTGATGAGTTTCCATGTTGCGAGTTTCAAGTTCATTGCATGTGGAGGACGTCTGGCGTGCTGGCACCTGCTCGAAGTAGCTACCCTTTCCAAATAAGCAACATGTAAATAGCTGCCAAACAGAAATTGGACTATCAAGATTACATAACTGTTCCCAAATGTATGGACGTGGGATTTTGGGTGAGAACTTCGTAAATATGGGTTTGGCACTGGGTTTGGCAAGAGTACTCTTTTGAATAAAAGACATGTTCGAACAAAAAACGTGGCAAAGTTGGGCATTGCTGCTGGAAAATATTGTTACGGCACCTGTTAAGGCTTATACTGTATTATCTTATATTGTTAGTCGCCTGGCTAGACCTTGTTCTACTTCTTTTGTCATGGTTGAACAAATTGAAAAGTACAGTAGTGGAGGAAACATGTCAGTCCGCCAGTGTCTGGGGCAGCGAGGGGCAAAGGAGCAAGAAAAAGATGGGTGCGTGAGATGCATTGGGACTTTGGCATGTTGTTTTTGGCAAGGTTTGGGAGGCTTCAGAGATGGGATTGGCGTTCTCATTGACCAGCAGGTCCTTTCTGTTAAGCATTGCTTCAAACAGGCCGAAACAGGCTCAGGTGGAGTGTCAAAGTATCAAAGGAATCATCGTAAAGAGGCTGGCAAGATCAGGCTCAACTCAGCCATGGGCTGTTGTTTACACACTTGGTGGCATCATTTCGAGCCTTGAAGGACAGGAAGTCGCCGGGGACTTCAGTCTCTTCTAGAGCCTCCAACACAGCCGATTAGATCTTATATGATCTTATCCTGGGCCTTTCTGGCCCAGCTCCCAAGCATCTCCGCAAAAAAGAGATCCAAACTCTGGACTCTCTTCACAGCATTCTGAATCAAGTTTGCAAGATGACTAGGACAGAACCAAACATCTCTATGCAACTCTCCCATACTTTGTCCAGCCTCACGGATGATGGCACCATGAGATATCTCCTTGTCCGCTTCCTCGCCTCCGCAAACACGCGGAATAGCCATGGGTTTCACCAGCACTGAACCACGGAGTGATGCACTGCATGTGGCAGCATGCGCTTACTCACTGGCACAACACGCTGTTTGTATTGTTCAAATGAAAAAGTCTGGGTTGGGCCTACTACTAAGTACTAGTCTAGTTAGTAGTCCAAAGACACTGTGATTGTTTTAGCTTCAGAATTCCTCATCTACGGCAGGCGGGTATTGCAATTGTGGGCCACAAACCCCATGGGACAGACCTACAGAAGTTGTGGGCACCAAAATCTCTCCGTCCCATCTTCAGCCTCGACAGCAGCAGAACTTGGTGCCTGTGTCCCGCTCGTTGGGCCCACTGGGCGGCCCGGTGCGCCTTGGGAGAGCCAAGCTGGGCTGCCAATCAAAACACAACGGTTCCGGTTCCTGTATTTTTTAAGTTATTCCTTTGACACCGCAAAGCGATGCAAAGCTTGAACAGCAACATTCTAATCTACCAAGGCGCTTCTCAGCAGTTGCATGTGTCGAACTTTCCGCCTCACCAAAACTTGCGTCATGCATGCAAACGGAAACAATAAGACGACATAAGCCGTGTAACACTTCAATGAATTGTCTCAAACATTCTCAGACCAACTAAGTTCAGGACACCCATCTAGCAAAGCTCTACATGAGAAGCTCTGCATGAAAAGCTCTGCATGTGCATCAAAAGGTATCAAAAGAACAGTAAAATGGCTGCGGTCAGCATTTGCAGCAAGGCTTGAAACAGTCGGACAACTTGTTCTCTTGTCTGGCTCGTCACGTGCGCACCATCCACACAAAATATCTTTGGAGAGCGACTAATTATCTAAAATCATCACAAATCAACAACCAAACCATTCGAGGGTCACAAACAGTCACAGCGACAAGTGGGCGACATTTTTCCATGACAAGCCGAACAAAGCTCAAGTCAGATCCGGACCGTCAACACCTTCAGTGATGGCTTACAAATGGGCAATGTGCTTCACACTGCTGTTAAACATGAAACACGAGTCTGATTTGCAAGGCAAGGTTGACAATTTTTCTTGACAGGGGAGTGCAACTTTTCCGCCTTCCGCTGCATCAGACTTCGGCCTTTCCACGAAAGCACAGCCGCACAAACGCCCCAATGCGATCAGTTGCGGTCGCGCCTCAATGCTCTGATCAGCCTCTTGGGGGTTAACAACGATGTACCTCCCATGAGTACCTGAAGCGGCCGCGGCATATTGAGTCTAAGAGGGGGCCAATACAGTCGGTGAAATCAACAATGTCTGCGCGAAGGGAACATTTTTTGCACATGCTAGGCAATATGATGCAAGCAAAATGCTCGCACAAACTTGCTGAAATGCATTTCAGGCGCCTCGGTTCCGCGAGGCAGCTTTTCTTGAACCTGGCCAAACACAGCGCATCACGCTGGCTATCGTTATCTGCTGTTCAACTCCGCATCAACCAGCCTCTGCAGCCACTCGCAACTCCGAATGTGTGAAACCTCCAAGCCTCAGCTCGAGAGAATCTCAAATGCTCTCCCAAGCAATCCCAACCCTTGCAGAAGGGTTTGGGTGATGATGTTCCTTTTTTATGTTGCAGAGGTGTATTGTGCAGCTTATCTACACAAGAGCATTTACAGTATATGGTTCACCCAAGGAAAGAACTGTGATAGAAAGAGCATAGAAAGCGGCTTTTATGAGTGTGTGTGGGATAATCCATCCGAGGAGAGGACACAAAGATGACGATCCGATGTGAGGTCTCTGTCCTCTCCGCATCCACGCCCCCTGGCAAAGGAAGAGGGGGAATGCATGAAACTCCGAACAAAACAATCAAGGGAAAACACAGGATCCATATCCATGGTTGGTGCAAATGAATTGCTACACTGTTGATATCGTGGACAATATTCAAACATATCAAATATTCAATACAAGTATGGCTGCTCGGGTCGGTGTTGATCATGTGATGCGAAAGCTCGCACAATTGCCACCTGCCACTGATGCGAAGGACCAATCGTCTTTGGCCTACAGAAGCGGCGGGGTCAGGGTCCCTGTTCGAGATTGAACAAGTGCGCCGCCCAGAAAGTGTCTACCCCACAAATCTGGTCGCACCAGATTCAGACTGAGATCTTAGCATGTTTTCTTGTGTCAACCCTTTTTGAACTGCGGGTCTAGGGTTTGTTGCACGCTCGAAGTTTCAAATTCAAGGCTGAGATCCCTGAGCCACAACTGTGCCTAGTGATTTCACTCATGCATGTGCAACTTTTCTACAGGCCTGGATGGCAGGAGCTCCAAGTAAGTCTGCATATCCAGCCTCACGAAGACCTCGACATGGTGTTGGCTTTGTCCCGAACCACCTTATAGTTGCTGGGCTCCCTGCCGAAGTCTGTCCTTGGTGTCGGGAAACTGATTGAAGTTTTTGGATAATGATCTCCCCATCTCTCTCCGAAGGCTAAGATTCCTGCGATTCGCTCTGACATACACCAAAATCCTGCACAAAATGGATGGATAAATGTGGACGAGCTCTGCAAACACATGACATCAAAGCTCCTCTAAGCTGAGTCGGTCTTCAGCCAATTGCTCCAGAATCTCCTGACTTCGCCATTCATGTCAGCCAATCATGATATTGTATGGTCTTCCTGCGTGTGGGACGTATAGTAGCTCGGCTGTGTTCAATAAATGCGGATGTCGAGGGCTTCCTCGTCAAAACATGCCAAACAAGGTAACTACAGTACAAGCAATAATCTGTCCATCAGTACGTGCCTCCTTTCATCTGCACAGATCTGCCAACACACCCTCTCACCCCTCTCCCAGCCCTCTCCCTCTCCCTCTCCTTCAACCGTGGCTCAAAGCGTGACAGCTCGAAACGCCCTTCAGCCTGCGGGCGGCTGCCAGGAGGCAAATGGCGGCCACACCGAAGCAAAACCGAAGCGTTGGTCGGATGATGTCGGATGATCGGAGATGGGCTCAGTTCTGCACCACAGCATTCTTCTTGAATCTCATCGCCTGACACAGCTAAGCTGAAGCTATGGAGGGGCCAGGTCCAAAACCGTGGCCTTTGCAGTATGACTACTAGAAGCTTCTTGCTCCTAGCAGCGATGGCCTCCAACCTAATAGCGATAGCCTCCACCTAGTAGCTAGTCTTTCCTAGTAGTAAGGCCAGGAGCTACCAGTAGCTTCTTGATGAATCCTAGTATGAGCTCTGAGGCAGCACCCTTTTGCGGGGCACATGTCAGATGCACGAAGTGATACACTGCGTGGTAGGGAATACCAGCACAGGGTGGTTGCATCCCCGTCGCCCGTCTCTGTACTTACTCGGGCATGTTGGACGCCCAAGGAAACAAAAGGCGGTTGCGAGTTGAATTGTAAAGTCGAAACCGACCAACCTATTCACGTAGTAACAAGGACGCTACTAGGAACAAGTGCATCGCTTCTAGTAACAAGTGCCTTACTAGTAGTAACAAGGACGCTACTAGGACTTAGTTTATTCGATCTTTCGGCACTATGGGCTGCAAGAAGCCATGGGCAGAATTCTTCGCAAAGAATCCAGGCAACTGATGGTGAAGTCTGCCTCACAGAAAGCAACGGCTTTGCAGGAAATGGAAAAGATCAGGCCACGTTTTCTCTGGAGAACAAGCAACGCCAAAAGTTCGGTTGTCAAGTTGCCATAGTTTTCCTTTCCCATTATATAAACTGAATCGTAGATAAACGTACATAGTAGTGCACTCTGATCCCCAATAAACACCACACACGCACAAAACTCGATCATCCGAATATGACCACTTCAGTAGAAGACTCTGACATGAAAAGCCTTTGAGGCATCGAGAAGGGCCACGACCTATCGCATCGTTCCCGACAAACTTGCAGCCTCTCTTGCCATCGTAGAGGCATCAGTGCACATGTCGCCGTTGCCATTGGTTCCATTGCTATAACCCCCATTCAGACCTTGCTTACCAGCGGGACAACAGCTTCACTCGTAACACCGGTAAAAGCCATGTCCAATGGCGAAATCAATGATATATACATGGAATACACACTTTCAAGCCAACGCTGAATGCATTCTGAAAAGTATATATAATCAGATGATAGAATCTACTTTCGTACGGTCATAGAATTTGTCTTGTTTTAAGACCGCTTAATGTATCAAAACGCCCTTTTAATAGTGTAGAAAATGTATAAAAACTGTCAATCCCTCATTACCCTGTCACATTCTTGTTTCATGTTTATTCAGTCTTTTGTGTTTCTTCCTTTGGCCGTGTTTTACCTTCTGAGTGAAGGAAAAGAACAGGAGATTGAAGGGAAAGGCAAAGAAGAGAAACGAAATGAACAAAAAGCAGAATTGAACAAGAATTTGAAGGAAAAGGAAGAAGGAAACAAGCCAGGATCGCCAGGATTGGGGTAAAGCAAAAGAAAACAACATTTCAGATAAGATTTACGATATTTACGTCAAACACGGCAACATTATTCGGGGCGTAGTAAAGCCCGTTATAAGGAATGAATACTATGTTTATCTTAAGCTACGATACAACAATACAATGTCATGAATCATGAATCATAAATTTCATAAAATATCAGGATCCTGTGCTGGACCATTGGCTACAAACATCTCCTTACATAGATTGGAGCTTCCAGATCCTTAACCAGCGTAGTGCGCATCTTCAGTCCAAGTCTCTGTTCTGGAGCAGGGTCACAGTCTTGAATCCCGATGCAGTACGGAGGAAGGTCAAGGACGATGTGACAAGCAAGACATTCGAAGCTTCAGCCTCAAGTCCCCAAAGTTTCAAATGCTCCATCAAAGGTTCTGAAACCGTGGCCGCTTTTAGGCCAGAGTTCTTTAAACAATTCACAAGTTTCTCAGCATCCCCTATCTCATGAAAGAGAACGCCTTTGATGCTCACAGGCTCCACCAACTCGCAGCGGTGCAAGACTCTGGGCGACTCAATGGCTGCTTTAGACTCAACGAGCCGCAGCTCTGGAGAAACTCGTTTGCCTGCGATGATGCGGGCGCTCGAGCTTGCCACCGTGTTCCGAAGCACGCCTTGCAGCACAGCAGCAGCTTTTTCAAGGGCTAAGGGCAACTCGTCTGGCATCATATGAGTCCAGGCCAGAATCATCGCAGCTGTTAGGTCTCCGGTGCCGGTAAATGGCCCACCTCCGATATGAGGTACGCGGAGAAGCCACTTCCTTTGTCCGGCACATGATAAAAGCATCGCAACATTGTCACCTTTGGTGGCATCTGGCACGTCCAAGGTGGTAAGCACCACAACTTTGGGGCCTTTTGAGTGAAGCAGATTGCAAGCTTGCACCGCCTCTTGGATGTTGGTAGTCTTCTTTTCTGTCAGCAACTCAGCCTCAAACTGATTCGGTGTAAGTATTGCCACGTGCTGCAAAACATCGGTGCGGTAGACCGCCACAAGCTCTTCAGGTACATACAAGTGACCATTGTCACCTAGTACAGGATCACAAACATAGCAGCAAGTCTCAGGCAACTTCTGACGAAGATACAAGACTTCCTTCAAGAAAGAGACTGCTCCAATATAGCCTGTGAGTAGAAAGGAGTGATCCAAAGCCTCGTTGTAAGACAAGCCCTCTACCACCTCTCTTAGTTCATCTCCAGAGACCCTTTGACCTGCCAATTTGGGATATCCTGTGTGACAGCTAAATTGCACCGAGTTGATCACGTCAACTTCAAAGCCCAGTAACTGCAAAGGGAACACTGCTGCACGGTTGCCCACATAGCCATGAACCACGTGCGATTGCACGCTCAGGACACGGGGAGCGACACGCGGAGCCGCACGCGGAGCAGGAAGCGATGCCATGTTCGGCCGGTTGACCGGACGGAAGTAGAACAAGGATGAACAAAGTGTGTTTTCCCAAAGTGCCTTTTCAGCTGGTCCGGATTCTATTGATCCTATTCACTTTTTGTGGCTGGAAAAGCTTGAGTTACTTGTCTTTTTCACATTGGTCTTAGCTAGAGTTGTCGAAAGTCACTTGTGCCTGTATCTTCCACTTTGCAACTGCTCTTTGTCCTGGGTCTGAGACTGGGAGTTGCTTGGGCTGGAAGTATGCCAGGCACAGCATGGCACAGCTGAACAATTGCTACTTCAGCGTGTAGATGTTCATACCCATTACATCCCATTACCCATACCCTTTAGAAGTGCGAACACATAAGCCAAATCAGCTACCGCTTTCTCGTCACAAACCCAAAGGCCTGCTGCTTGGTCACGCGATGTGCACATCCAGTACCTTGTTTCAGCCGTTGAGATTCTGGGACCTGAGCGGCTCGGCTCTCCGCTGGTACGTTGCTGTATGGCTGCCCCTAGTAGCGTCCTTGCTCCTAGTAGTAAGGCCAGGAGCCCCTAGTAGCTTTATGGCTAGTTTTCCCAAGGTTCATATTATCATGTTCTCAATGTTTCTATGCATGTTCTTGTCCTTTCTCCCTTTCCTCCATGCCTCCATAAGACGGGTCCGGAGCATTGCGATAAGAACCTGACAAAGAGAAAGTTCGTGGTGGTTGGCCCGGGATCATTTAGGTTAGAGGCCATCGCTATTAGGTTGGAGGACATTGAAGAATTTGCAGTGCTTTCACTGACTGCACACCTCACGCCATATCAAAGCATGGCCTGATGGTCCTCGGGTTCCAACTTCGCGGCATCCATGAGCTTTGATCGGTTTGCCTGCAAAAAATGCAGCATTATTCGCAGCCAAAATTGTAGAAGGTTGGCAAACAACTTCAATGGGAAAATGAGGGCCCATGAGTGAAATAGAAACAAGTAATTAAGAATCAGTAAGAATCTTGATCTCACTAACGCTCTGCACCGGCACCGCCTCTGGTATGTTTGCGACACACGCCTTAGAACTGATTGTGGTCATCTGTGGTCTGCGATGAATAATTTGTGCCGTATGTGAATTGCTGTGAATGATCACGGTGGCCGAGCTTGGCCAAAGCGCTGCACACGGCGCGTTTGACACCAACCAAGTGGCAAAGTAAAGCATCAGCAAGCGCAGCTTCATCTCGCTGGGCAGCTCTGGCCGATCTATGAAAATCCTGCGATCCGCGATCCCCGTCGGTGAGACATGATGCGACCAGTCGCCTTGTGTGACATCTATGCCAGGTGTGTCTTTGAGCCAAACACAGCTTTCCCAGTGCGCACTTCAGCAAGGTCTGCTGCAAGTTCGCAATCTTCACATCTTTCCCGTTGCGGTCAATGCCGCATGCAGTGTCCTGCAACAAGGTCAATGGGGAACTCCACATGTTGGGAGAATATCCGGCCGATGTCGCATCCGTGTTCGTCAAACATCCCAAAGCCACGTGGCACATTTCACGTCACTTGACCATCTTATCATTCCATTGGCTTCGTTTGGACCCTGATAGCTGAGTCCTGCTCCAAAAGCCCAAGATGAAGTGGATCCAAGATTTGCTCTTGGCTCAAACGTGAGTGGATCTGCCTCGGTAGGTCAACTTGTACCAATCATGCTAGTCCACGACGCCATGTTCCCTGTGTCAATGGCCTGAACCCATCATTATGAACATCCAAATTCAGAATATCTCCTAAGGCATGCGGCATGATCATCGCCAAGTGCAGCGACATACGATCGACGGCATCTCGCCTTGGATCACCCGCTGTTGCTCAAGTAGTTCCACTCTCAGCAGCAACAATCACCTCAGCTACAAACATCTCCGGGGCTCCACGGAGCTGCTCCAGCATGGCCTCGGCATCGTTCAAGGCGTCTTTTGGGGCGAATAAGTAGATTTCCCGACCCGGTAACTTGTGTAATGTTTGATGGTGAATGTTCTTGAACTACAAGTAGGGACGTGAACGGATCACCTAATCCGAAAGTCTAGTCTAGATGATAAATGATTGAAAAACTGGAGATCAATATATTATAGTCTCATGAAGGGATATCAAAAGGTACATAGGCAGGTACTCTGGATATTTGTGCTGTAATTAAGGATGATGCGCTGGTACTCATTGCAGTTGAACTTTTCTGATTGTTCTGACCTCAGGCAGCTCATATCTCGATACCTCATGACATGTTGATGGATCTCACGAGGGCCGCGCGCTTTACATCATCTACCTGACGCGAGCAAAACTGCCAAAAACATGTTCTATGCATTACTCATCACAGGCAGACTGCGCCTTGGCTTCCACATGAGATCGTGCTGCTTCTATGTGCATATACCTTAGCTCCTCCAACTTTGAAAAACACCTCTCATCCGGTCAGAGACCAATCATCAACCTTTATTTGCCGTCTCCTCCCAAAGAGGATCTTCCAGCAGCATCTCCTTGTTCTTGTCTTTGTTCTCCCCTGGGCCAAGTCAAATGATGCAAAGTGGTCGCATTAGAGTCTAATATGGCATGGAGCTTGTTCTCAAAATCACAGCACCATACCATACTACATTGTTTTGTCAGAGCATCACTGCACTTCGCCTGCATGGGAAGTTTTGAGTGTCACTACATTGCGGTCTCCGTCGAGCATATTGCCATCGAGCAGGTCAAAGACACAAGCCTCTACAAGAGAAAGCACGCGTCCAAATACAAGCGCCGCAGCAATTCGAAACGTGCCTAGTTGTCTTGCCTCGTAGGAGTACTCGTGGACGAGTGCTGCTGCCATATCGACAGACCGTTCGAGAATCAGCAGCTGGCCTGTTCAAGAATCAGCACAAGTAAACTCTAGAAAACTATAGAAACCTGATGCAACTTGCAAGGTTTTAAAATGTTTTGCAGTAAGTGCTGTTGTTCCTTCAAACAACTGGCAACCAAGTGATGTAGATTGATGTAGAGTGTAGGCAAACTTCCGAGGATGAGGCAAGGTTGGCTTGGTAGCGCCGAAGCCTGGTGCCTCGCATGCTTTCTCCCGTTTCGACTACATGGTTCTCTTGGTGCTAAGAAGGTACTAGGTGCTCCTGGCCTTACTACTAGGAGCAAGGACGCTACTAGGGGCTCCTGGCATCGCTACTAGGAGCAAGGACGTTATTAGGGGAACAAGATATGTGCCAAGGTCGTGACATGCTGAGCTCTCGAAGGACTCTCTGACCAATCGTATGGCCTGTTTTCAGATTGGATATGATTCAAGAAAGACAAATTGATCGAGTGATATAAGTTGAGTTGAATGCCTACCACGTTCCACCAACGTTCTGTTCATGTCATTCCCAGTTTGGCTTTGCTAGCCCAGTATGGTTCAAAGTCCTATGTCACTCAGGCTTCTAGACCAAGTACCAGACAAAGGTCTGACTGGCAGCGAATGCTCGGTGTGGTTGTCTGGCCAAGTCAGCCGCACAAAGCGAAGCATGTTCGCATGTCCGCTTCTCTACACTATATATTCATGATATTACATGGATTACAAACTATGGGCCGATGCCGATGTTATACCTACTTGAGACCGATGGGATAAGTTAAAAGCTAGGGCAATCAGTTGCATCATCATCATCATCATCATCATCATCATCATCATCATCATCATCATCATCATCATCACCATATATAATCCTACTTCCACGAAGCAACTAGCCAGCTTACCGTTATCTTGTATTTGCAATGCTCTTGACGAGAAGGGGTTCTAGTGAAAGATCAAATCACTGTGTTGGCCTCAGGTCTCCACTCCCTTGCTAAAGCAAGACCATACTTAGCTAACGCTAGCTTGCGTGACTGTGGAAACTCGCCCATACTATACAGTCGCCTGGAGGCACCGGCAAACATCCGCCAATTGCTGGACAATGCTGGAGACCAGTTGGGGATCGGGCCTCGCATTTCAGCTGCATGGATTGCAAATGACTGCAGCTGCCAATCTGTTTGCGAAAGCAGCTTAGCAGCTGGCACAGGAAACAAAGCAGTTATGGCCTCTGGAACATCAAAATGGAAGCCCCGATCCTCCCAGATTCAACAAAGGTCGTTGATGGCATAAAATATCGAAGTAACAATGAGAAAACGAACATGTGTCCTGTACAAGCGAGAAGCTTAAAGGCACTTCCACAAAAGATCTGACCTTGTCTTCACGGTTCATCTCAAGCCGTGGAGGAGATGCTCTCTCGCAGCAAAGGTCATCTTACCATATTGGTTAGTGCAAAGTACACCAGACTATTGCACGATGGCGCAAAATCACCGGTCTAACAACAAGCGATCCCTATAATAGCATGGGACCTAAGCCCTGAGTTCTTGCCAAGAAATAGGACCATACCATGATGAGTTGCTCTTGCCCTAAGCATCAGGCACGAGATGCCAAGTGAGGCGCCTGACCAGGCTCTTCCGAACTCTTCCAAAATGCATGACAAACATGTTCTGGAACCTTCAAGGATGTTCTGAAACCATGAGTGAGTCAGGTTCGCACATGTTTCAAACCATGGCAATGTGGCTCGCCTCTGTGAATTTGGACAAAAGGCTCTGCTCCACCGGCTTGGTGAAGCACAAGTGAACCTGTCTGAGTGACGCTGGCGCGTCAAACCCAAAACGTCAAGACGAGTCTGAGCGCCTCGTCTCGTCTGACTAAGACCTCTCCTAATGGCCTCCAACCTAATAGCTTCTTGCTCCTAGTAGCGATGCCCTTGTAACTAGTAGCTTCTTGTTACTAGTAGCTACTTGCTCCTAGTAGTACGGCCAGGAGCCCCTAGTAGCGTCCTTTGCTCCTAGTAGCGGCCTCCAACCTACGAGCCTATCTTCTCTCAAGGCCTGGCGATGCTGTGGAGCTGCGCTCTTGAATTCGCCCAAGATCCGCTCCACGTTCTCTGGAAAAGGCCTAGAAAAATGAGAAATGAGAAACACTGTGTGTTTGATGCAATTTGGACAGACTCACTTTCTTCACTTCGCATAGACGATGGAATAGGATGGAATGCACAGCAATTCGTCCAGAAAAAGACATGAAAAGACTTGTGGCTTGTGTGGCTGGGCAAGGGTGAGGTGCAATCAATACATTCACCCTAAAGGTCTGTGGTGTCTTCTAAAATCTTCTAAAGAGGTCTTGTGGTCCTTTGCACCGTCTGACGCCAGGCTCCGGTGCCTTAAGAAGTACATGGCATCCAAGCCAGGCCTTACCATCTCACAGCTCACCGCACAGCTCACCGAGCTCAGCAGTTTCATGTCTTTGGAGTCGATCCCCATTCAACGTTAGCTAGAAGCTACTGGTAACAAGAAGCTACTAGGAACAAGTGCATCGCTTCTAGTAACAGGTGCCTTACTAGTAGTAACAAGAAGCTACTAGGGGCTCCTGGCATCGCTACTAGGAGCAAGGACGCTACTAGGGGCTCCTGGCCATACTACTAGTAACAAGAAGCTACGGTCGTAGTCGACTCCTCAGCCATGGACAACGGCTGCCTGGATTCCTCAATCAGCTCGACGCTGGTGACGCCCTGAAGCGGATGCCATGTTTTCAGCCATGTCTTCAGCCGCCGAAATGTTCGGGGTCGGAAAGTTGAAACAAAAGGCGTGGGCTCAGTCGGCTCGGCTGCTTTTTGAGCTGCTTCACTTGTGACATGAACAATCATGAAAACAGTCACGGCACCATTCATCGCAGCCTCTCCGTGGAGGTCTCCCATTTTCAAAAAGGAGTTAATCACCTGCACAGCTCGCGACCCACTCAGCAAGTCAATGGCGTTACAACGAAGTTCGAAACCTCCAAGCTATATTGATCCTGCGGTATCCAGGATTTATGAGTATCCTGAAGTTAGTTCATGTCGTGTCCATGATTTTTCTATCAGAATATCGGGTCCGGTCTCCGGGTGCCCTACCCTTAAGGTTGCTTCATCCACAACCAGCTGGAATCGATCAAGACCTGACGCAAAGGCATGGACTTGAACTAGAGAATGCACCTGAGGCGGATCAACTGACTAGTGACACAAAAACCGCTTTTTGCTGAGGCGTTCTTTAACTGGAGGCAGTAGAAATACGGCGTTTGACCTGATCTTGCATCGGAAGATCAAACAAAACTGGGAGCATGGCCATCCCCTCCAGCCTTCATGGCTCTGCGAAGCACTACCTGTCAAATGTGAGCCATACTCGAGACATCTCCAGACCATTTCAACAAACCTCTCTATGGAATGCCTCATGATAGCTGGAGTCACATAAGAAATCTGGACTAAGGAGAGGATGAATGATATGATGCTATCAGAAGATCATGAAAGGTCTGTACGAGTACTATGAAAGGTCTCTGATTCGGCAGTGCTTGTATCATGCCCGCCTGAAGAACGAGCTCTCTGCATGTTCGCCTCAAGACGTGCAGTTCCTGTTGCTGCTATATACCTAGTAGCGTCCGATCGCTCCGTTCGGAGCGATGCCCTTTGCTCCTAGTAGCTTCTTGTTCCTAGTAGCGATGCCAGGAGCCCCTAGTAGCTTCTTGTTACTACTAGTAAGGCACCTGTTACTAGAAGCGATGCACTTGTTACTAGTAGCTTCTTGTTCCTAGTGGTACGGCCAGGAACCCCTAGTAGCGATGCCCTTTGCTCCGCTCGTAGCAATATAAGTCATCTCATGTCTACATGTCTGCTAAGAACACATTGAGAAACGGCCTCAAAGACATCTCTCCCTTGGGGAGGAAAAGCAAAAGGCTCCTTACTCGTCAAAGCATGGCTCAGTGCATGCAAGACAGTGTGAATTCATCCAATCCGAGGCTCCCCTGCGAAGCACTGTACAGTTGCAGGCGCAGCCGTAGGTTTCATTTACGGAATGATCTCTTGTGCAAACATAGTACAATGACTTCGAGCCAGGACCCGGTGAGACGTCTCTTCACCATGTGTCATGATGTTCGATCCATTGAAATAGACGAAGGAAGGGAATCATTGCCATGTTGAATTAATTCACACTCACACCATCTCACACCGCCCTTTACCTTTGAGTCGCAGGCGGCCACGCGCGAAATCTGCCATTTCAATCCCTTCAACTAGCGACAGTTTGATCACAAACTGGACATGTACATGCACTCCTGCCAGCCGTGAGCTCTTTTTGGGGTCTGATGTTTCTCAACTGCCCTTAGCAGTCTGCGAAGGGCTGCAGATAGCACCAGCAGTTGGATCGCCCACAAAGATGCAATGGTGATGCTTGTGGGGCTAGCAGAGCATGTCTTTGTGTCTTTGTGGTAGATAACTCATGTGATATTGTTTATTATGTTGTCTTTTATTAAGAGTGGGAGGAAGTGCCGATGTTATCGAGCACTGTGCCTCTCTCTGTTGAGCACAGGTAAAACCCGAAAGTTGCCTTAACCACCGCCTGAGCAGTGGCCCAATGCCCTGAGGCAGTGAGACAAGATCTGACAATCATTATGAGACCCTGCGTCCGGCAAACCTTTCAAAGCATTTTGGGATCCTCAGACTGGCAAGCCTCTCATGACAGGAGCTTGCAGAGCTTGCAGGCCAGGGTGTCCAGGCAAACTTTGGCTGCGCATCTGCGGAGGTTTCTCCCACATGCATGCGCCACACCTCGTGGCATGAAGCCAGGATCTTCCTAGGGCATTCACTCGGCTACAGCACAGCACCATGGATTATGGGCAGCGCAGCGAAATTAAGCGTGCAATGGCCGCACAGGGCAGCAATGTCCAAGATCACCGAGCCTGTGAAGAGTGGATCAAGCTGGATGCGCGACAAGAATAGAATTGACCCAGGCCCAACTCCTTCATACTCCTTCTATGTGAAAAAAAGGAACGAAAGAAACGACACAATTTGGACCTTTGATCCAGCTGGTCTTTTGACCGCCTACGTCTCCCCTTCAGGGCCGTGTGGTGTACGGAGACCTGCGTTACCAGGCAGCGGAACCGACTGACTCTCGGAAAGGCACATTAGTAACAAGAAGCTATCAGTAACAAGTGCCTCGCTACTAGGAGCAAGGGCCTTACTAGTAGTAA